TTACTTATGTGTGGGTTGTTCACTGAGCCATCATGCTGTATGCAGCTTGTGACCATATTTAGCCCCATTACAGCTCACTTCCTAACTACTGTAAATTTTAATGTTCAAGTGTCCTTAAATGGTATGTCAATTAAGAAAGCCCATGGTGCTAATCCATTTTATTGGAGCCTCTGGGCTAGGGTGGAGGAAATATAAATGGTTGTGTAAGGACTGGATGATAATCCGGAGAATGTATCAAACACATTGTGTTTTAAGTATGACTTTGCAATTCAGTAGCTGTGTGACCATATCAAGTTCATCCCTATGTTGTCAATATAAAATAGAGGCACTAAATTTATTACTCATATTGTGTAATGAATTAAGAGATCAGGCATGGTGGTATTCACTCATACTTGAGTGTGAGGCTAGAAGATCAAAAAAAGAGTTCAAAGCCAGTCTAGCTTCAGCTATAGACTGTCTCAAAGAGCAAAGGAAAACAAAACAAAAGATAAAACTGAGTAATTACTCAGGTATATATATGGGGGAAGGTAAATGAGGCTAAGATTGTATTCCCATCATAACTGTACTGTTCATGAGTGGAATTTACCTGACGTAATGTCAGTTTAGTAAACAAAAAATAGGCTTTCTTATAAACACCAAATAGTGGGAGGTGGGAGAGTCATAGGTTTGGATTCACCGTCTGTATGTGTTTCTTTCTCCTTATTGTTTCTTTGCTTTTAGTAAAGTTATATACACATAGGTAATCTCAGCCACCTGGAATGAGTTACATAGTCCAGTTCCATCTTCCCATCTTTTCCAATCCCATCAACTGCTGGTGATGTAAACTAACTTGTTCACTGCTTCCGTGGTTCTAAGCCCTGCTGTAAACATCTGCTAGATCTGAACTCACTTGAATCTCACTGCCCTGAGAGGTGCGTGCTGATTACCCAAAATGCACTGTTAGGTAATTTCATCACTGTGTGCACTTCTATGAGTAACCACTACCAATCCAGGTTGTAGAAATCCATTACTTATGTGGCCTCCCAATGCAGTCAGGACACTTGGTCAGCATGCAGTGTCTTGAAGACGCTACCATTGTAATGCATAATTGTAATATATAATACTATTTTAAAGTAAATGTGTTTTTTAATTAATAGGAGTGCACTCTACTATAATGATCAAGTCCCCTTATCAAAGAGGGTAGTATTTGCAATACCTATGTACTGCAAACATCTCTTAACTTATTTATAATACCTAACAAAATACCAATGCTACCCATAAAAAGTCAAATGATAAGATGTGTATTGTAGGAAATACTTAATAACGTTTATTGTCATCCTTACCAGAGGTGTCAGCCTCACCACTGCCGTGAGCAGGACATTCTGCTGTGACGTTGTGATAGCTACAGCATCACCAGATGATTGGATGCCTTTCGGCTCCATGACAAGCCATTGGCACCATAGTCCTATCTGTGGCCCTCACTGACTGAAGTGTTTAGCAGCAAATGATTGTATTGCCTCCACTTTTACATTTGAGGGAAATGAAGCACAAGACTGGTGAAGGGTTAAGGGACTTGCCAGAGACCACCTTGTTGACAACTAGCGAATCTGGGAGGGATTCAGTTCCAAAGAAGCTGGTCACATCATCAGCACGCTCTACTGCTTCATCCCCAATCTCCTTGGATATAGGATTAGTATAGGGCATAAGGAGATTGGACCCAGTATATCCTTACCCATCAAGCACTAGTGGTCCATAGTTACATTGAGGATCCAGATTTAGCAACCTACTTCCAGCCACCAGCCATCCAGATACATGATTGAAAACAGTGAACAAGCAGAGCATTTATACTGTCTTAATTGTCAAGTCATAACATTTGAGAATCAGGTGTTTGGTGCCTATACCCAAAGAACCTTCCTTCAGATTTTTATATATAGATATCTAAAAAGTTCTTACATACTTAGCCAAAAAGTTAAATTAAGGCCCTGAATTGGGTCCAATTATAAATGTGTTCTCCCTCCCAGATGAGTAAGTGCATAGAAATAGAATAACTGATATAACTGGCCTTTATGACATAACTTCATTTTCTTTTATGTGATGTAAATCACTTAAATGTGAGCATTTCCATCTGATACAAGTTTTCAGTCTCAGTAGATAACTTTGGAGGATCTGGTATGTTAAAGAACAACAACCAGATTGTCTTTGTTTTCAGCCAGTGGTGCTCTTTTTTTTTTTTTTTTCCTCTTTCATATCCAGTGGTTGGTTTAAGGCCTAAACCCCTTAGTTACAGAACAAAGTGATGGAGCAGTAATCCAGCCTGTGTGGGGCTAAAGGGAGAATAATGAACATTCCCTGCAAGCTTCCTGCCTAGGTGCAGGTGCAGAAATCAGGAGGTTATGAATAATGCATGACATGCAGATTAGGTGATGGTTTCTCCTACTGGGGTTTTGAATTTGCTACCTGCCTGGATGCTATATGTGGAAAGAAGGCAGATAAAAGCAAAAGCATCCCAATTTAAAGACTAAGCTCACAAAAACTGGATACCCTTTTAAAGAAATAAAATTTAAGGGGTGGCTGAAATGCAAGTGTTATGGTCTGTTTAGTGTTGACTTGCGCAACATATTACCAGTGTACTCCTTTTGAAGAAGAAAAATATTCCTTGATTCTTCTTTTTAATTCAGGAAATCATGTGATTATTTGGTTACACACACAATGAGAAGTTCTATTCTGAAGACTGCTACAGCATTTTAGAAATTGGACACTTGTGGTATTTGATCTGTGATCAATGAATTTTTTTCTAAAAGATGCAGATGCCTAGAGAATATTGTAAGTATGGATTAAACATGCCTGTTTCCTCCATCCAGGAAATACGGGCCTGATAAGACAATACTGCAGGCAAATTGACCACACTGAGAAAAACTGGTTCCTTATACTACTTGAGTTAAAGAGGGAAGAATCGAAGGGGATATAGGCTTAAAGGATATGAAGTGAATTAAAAATTGAGTATTCGGGGCTCCCCAAAACTTATTTCATAAATAGGACTCTGACCTCCGGTGAGGGATAGAGCCAAAGTTTCCTCCATTTCCCTATATGTCAGGGGTCTTTATCTGGGGACAAATTTGGATGCTCAGAATGTCCATCTTGAGGAGGATTATATTTGAAAGAGACTAGGAAAACCTAGTTATGCTACCTATTGTATATAAGTCTCACACATTTTATTTCTCTCCTCTGTCTTTTTGTCTCTGTCTTCCCATTCACCTCCCCACCCCTTACCCCACTCCTATTTTGGGTACTGGAATATTCTGGCTTTCATTTCATTTTAGCTGAGTTTGTCATTTCCGCAAGGCCCCAGTTTGGCCAGATGCCAAGACCAACAGGTGATCCTTGTGGCTGCAGAGCAGCAGGAAGTGGGTCTCATTTGAATGAGGCAGTTCACCAGAGGGGCTGTCTGACCCCCCCCTCCATCTTCCTGCATAATTAACACCCTCCCCCCATGCAGGGCAGAAAATCTGTGCTGAGCAGCTCAGCTGGAGCAGCCATTGAGAAGCCTATGAGGAAAGGAATGTTAATAAGGGATGTTGGAAGGAATCAGCCTGCCCTGTGTAGAGTGAGGTCAGGCTCCAGGTTTGGGGCTAGCATGTCTTCTATGTTTTGACATGGTTTTTACTTGCCAAGCAGTGAGGAGGAGCTAATGGTTCTAACTGGACCTTAGTACTAGTTTACCAGTTTAAAAATCTCTTATCATCTTTCTTACAAATGAAAGGAATATATGATTATGTAGACACTGTGTTGAAAATAAACTCTGCAGCTGGGCACCAGTGGCTCACCCCTGTAATCCTAACTACTCAGGAGGCTGAGCTCTGAGGATCACAGTACAAAACCAGCCTGGGCAGGAAAGTCCATGAGACTCTTATCTCCAATTAACCACCAGAAAACTGGAAGTGGAGCTATGGCTTAAGTGGTAGAGTGCTAGTCTTGAGCTAAAGGACAGTACCCAGGCCCAGAGTTCAAGCCCCACAACCAACACACGCAAAATAAAAGAACGAAAATGAACTATGCAACTTGTGGGCAGGGATAGGAGGGGGAAAGGGAAAGAAATAATTCATTACCTGAATTATGAAATGGTAACTCCTCTGTGCATCACCTTAATAATAACAATCAAATAATAGTAAAAGCAAAATCTGAAGTATACCAAGTGAAGATAATGCAAGCTAAAAGGCTACCTAGATCTCAGAAATCCGAAGAAGCAGAAAGTAGACCATTGGGGAGGCAGTAATTAGGCCACTTAAGCTTTGCCAGTTGGTCACACAGGAAGAGGTGGAGGTGTCTACTAGTTGGCCTCTGATTGGAGGACATCAACATATCCTGAAAACTTTCAACTCTAGCCCTGTAGGCTTCCAGGCCTAGAAACTTGTAGAGCCTTGTATTCTTCACTTTTCATTGTCGGCCTAACATTTTCAATTGACTCTGACTTGGCTCTGCCTTTCTTAGACCGAACGGGGAGAACATGACTTTCCCAAAGCTTTTCTCTTATAAATAGCTACTCACCTTTTATTGCTTTCCCATTCTCACATACTGTATTCTTGTACACCAACAAAGTTGCCTTGCTTTTCAGGTTTTAAATCTAGAAGCTGAGTGAAAGAGGGATCATTCATTGTCTCTTTGGATGTCCCTTTAACAGCATGAAGAGAGCTCATTGACAACAGGCACCACATTGCATGTAACACTGGTGCCCATTCTTGTCTCTGGCAAGAACTGGGTCTTCAGTAACCATGTGCTGTAAGTCAGTTTATTGAAACTTTTGGTTCTGCCAAGGCCCTGTGATCTCAGGAGTGGTTAAGGAGGAAACAGGCCTCCTAGAGGTTTGCAAGGCACAGGAATGTGTGTCTGCTTACTAAGAAATGATCAAGTTCTGAAGGACTTTTGGGGGGAGGACATATATTATTTATGAAATAGGAATCCTTATTCATTTACAGTCAGGACCATATACTTTCGATAACTGTCTTATTCTGTTCTGCCTACAGGGTACATCCATCCCCAGTATCAAGAGTCCGGGGAAATCGAATGAATAACCAGAAGTTTGCTTGGTGAGTATGCAAACTACAGTATGCGTATTATCTTCTCTATGGAAAGTTCTAGTAGGGTTGTATTCAAACTGAATTATTCCTGTTGTTCTAGAGAGAATATATTTCTACTAACTAGTCTGGGTAGTGTTCCTTAAACTCTAAATAAAAAGTGTTACATTTCCCTTTCAGCTCAAACTTACCAAAAATGATGAATGCAACATCTTTATCCTAACAAATTTGATCTGATTTTCCAAGATTATCACTTTATACCTATTAAAGAATATTTCCCAATATTTAGCATAACTTAGTCCACAATTCAGATTTTTCTGAGGTATCAGCTTCAACTTTTCATGAAAATTTTCATAGTCCATTATGTTAATTTTGATGATTACCATTTTGTTTATTTTTTTCCGTAGAGAATATCCAGGTTTTGTTTTGTTTTCTAGTTGAGGAACACTAAGGTCTTCCTTTCACTAGTTCTTAAACAAAAGTACAAATGGAACTTAACCAGAAATGACCTTAAAAGTTATTTCAGCTACAAAATTCATTAAGGCAACAAACTTAGTGTCTTACAGATGCTTCATATGAAACAAATGTTTATTTATTTATAATACTCTTTCCACAGAGTTAACTTTTTATTTTTTGGGGGGGTGGGGGTCCGGTTGTGGGGCCTGAACTCTGGGCCTGGGCGCTGTCCCTCAGCTCTTCAGCTCAAGGCTAGCGCTCTACCACTTGAGCCACAGCGCCACTTCCGGCTTTTTTTCTTTTTGCTTATGTGGTGCTGAGGAATCGAACCCAGGGCCTCAGGCATACAAGGCAAGTGCTCTACCACTGAGCCACCTTCCCAGCCCCCAGAGTTAACTTTTTAATATATAATATTTCATTAAAAGAAGAGAAAAGAAAGATAATAACTGTGTCTTGTTAATTTAAAAAAATGGAAATTCACAATCTCTCATTTTACTTCTTTAGATTTTGCCTAGAATGAGATTTTTATTAGAAAGTATGGCTTTAAAAAAAAAGTGGGAGAATGATTACCAAAGATTGAGTTTCCAAATTAACTTTATACCTAAATCATGATTATTTTTAGACACAAAATAATGACACTTTGAACTTGAATAGTACATAATCAGCTCTCCTCCTGTTCTCCATTAAATCTAATTAACCTGCACAATAGCTTGGTGATGTTGTTAAATATTATGCTTTTCTTTTCCACGGAGGGGGAATTATAACCCAGAGGATTGGGCTATAAATTACACAATGCCTAAAAGCCAGACATCCTTCCTTCTTGGTCTCTCACAATAGCCACAGCATTGTCCTTTCAGACCTGGAAAGCTGGAAAAAAAAAAAATAATGCTGATAGTTATCACATGGAAAGTAGAGAAAAAGGTTACATGGAAAGAAGAGAAAAATCAAGTGACTCTTGGAGTGCATGGCATTTATATTCCTTCTCTGTACAGGGCATATTGTACTAAAGAAACTTATTACATAATAGAGCATGCAAGCTGATTAAATGAGCAACACAACACAAGCCAAGCCAACCAACAGAGAACAAAATTGTCAGTCCTGAAACCCAGCGTCTGCCCCGTTGTTCTCAATGGCTTAATGTGAAACACTGAGTAAATAATAGGTTTTCTCTTCTTTTCCTTTTCTTTCTGGACTTACTGGAATAATGATAACTTATTTCTGCATAATTCATAGCATGTCATTTGGTTAGTAAGTTTAGACTACTTTTATCTCCAGAGAAGTAATCCTCAAGAAACAAAAAGGTTTTTCCTATTAGTGTTGAGAAAATCTAACTTTCATTTATTTAACAACATTTATTTGCAGTTCCAGACACCATCGAAAGCACTAGATTAGAAAAATAAATAAAACATGGTTTTTAGGTGCTGTCTTGTAGGAAAGAGAGACAGACAGACAGATAAGGAAAGACAGAAAAACATCTTCTCCCTGATGTGTTACACTGATACCATACATGCATGTAAACATTATGTGATAAGACTAGAATACTAAGTACATGGGGATAATATTGTAATAATTGTGTAATATTCAGAGGAAAAAATTGTTGACTATATGTAAGACCAAGTTGAGAGTTATAATATAGTGAGAAAGTGGGAAAGAATTGTCTGAAAATTTGTTCCAGAGATTAGGTTGGTAGTCCAATGATAAAACACATGCACAATATCCTACATTTGATTACGACCACCAGGAAATATAAAAGTTATTCTAGAGCAAAAAGGTTTTTGAGTAAAGACCTACTTACAATTAGTAGGGAAAGCAATGAGCTGGTATGTCTTCAATAGATTGAATTAGGCAAATGGAGAGTTGGGGACATTTCTAAATTGATTCTAGCTAGAATGTGCACACATTTAATACATATACACCTTATTTGGTTGGGAGTTAGGCAACATTTCTATAATTTCTATCTTGAACCTTCCTTAGGTTAATACTTTGACTCTGGTATATGGAAATAAGTCACCTACCTGGCTGTGAAGAAGCCCCATGTATCAGCTAGCATCTGCTTCTAGTCAAGTGATATACATTTGATAGTTCTTTGTGAAATATTAGCTCTGAAAAGTTCAGAAAGTTTAAATACTCATCTAGCAATAGTGATGAAGGGAAAGAGACAGTTGATTTCCTGATAGAAGTTGGGGATCATTTATAGAATTAGCTGTTGAGTTTGTCACTAGCTTGACTCTGCCCTGAGTTATATCCACTATACTTACCAGTTAGGAACAATGATTAGAGGAGGCTGGGTTAGCAAATGCTCTAATCAGTTCATCAAATAGGCAATTGCCATTCAGGAAAATATAAAAAGGATTGAATTTCTGCTATAAACTTGTGTATAGGCAATGCATGACATTTGGGTAGGTGCTTGACAGTTACCAAGCCAATGTTTATTATTATAGAAAAGAAAGCTTGAAAAAAAACACAGACTTTAGTAGTGTTTTTCTTTTGTCTTCTGTTGATCTGAGAGGTGACATCCATTGGCCCTTTTGTGTGACAACATTTCCTTTGGAGCTGAAGAAATGTGTGGACAAGAATGTCTGTTCAAGGCAAACAAAATCTGCTAAAACCAAGAGAAAATGTGTTAGCACATGAGAATACTAGGGCTGAAAGAAACCAGTGACAGAAATGAGGGTGAGCCGTGATACTAACTCCCCAAAGACCAATGAAGACTTCCAGCTAGGGGCATTATCATCCCAGTAAAGAGCTTCAAAGCCAGGCACCAGTGGCTCCATCCTGTAATTCTAGCTACTTAGAGGGCTGAGACCTAAAGATTGTTATTGAAAGCCAGCCAGAGACAGAAAAAGTCCTTGAGACTCTTAGCTCCAATTAACAACCATCAAACCAGAAGTTATCTGTAGTTCAAGTGGTAGAGCAAATAGCCTTTGAGTGAAAAGAGCTAAAGAACAGCACCTAGGCCCTGACTTCAAGCCTCAATAAACAGCACCAAAACAAACAAGTCAGCTCATTATGTGAGCCACTGTTTAACACGGAATTAGACATGTGGAGTGGTGATTCCAAACATAAACACTGTCTCTCCAAATGTCTCCCTTGGGGTCAACGTACTGTAGAAGAAGAATTAGTTGATTTGAGGATGGCTTGGGATGTAGATCTGGAAATTTTCTTGTCAGTGTCATGCATTAAACCTTCCTTCATTCGTTCACTCTTGGCCTGGTGTGGGTGGGCCTTACCATATCTTCCTTGATGCAAGAGAAGGGAAGAATTCCTTTTTTTTTTTTCTTCTACCATTTTAGGCTCATTGCCTTGAGCCCTGTCAATTATACTGGCAAAAGACAGCAGAACTAGAGAAAAATGAAGTGACATGGATGAACACAAGAAAAGCCACTTAGACGGATAATTGGGGCGTAGGCTTATGTAGCATCTAACCAAAAGAACAATGAGATTTTTAAAGAAGTGACAAGACACAAAGAGAAGATCGTCAAGTTTCTATGGGCAGATAACTATAGATGAGGCAAACTGATGGGAGGTTGGTGAAACTCATTGTATCGCTTCTCTCTTCTGGTGCCATGTTCCGGATTTAGTGGTGCTGATTCAGATGATTGAAAATATTCCTGTTCAGCCAGGTGGAATGTTGCATACTTGTAATCATGGCTACTTAGGAGGTAGAGGTAGGAAGGAGGATCTTGAGTTCCAAAGCCAGTATTGGGCATGACTGGGCCACACCAAGTGAAAAAACAAGATAAAAACTAAAGATCTTGTGGGTAACTTTAGTGGTGAGGCCCTGATTCAAGGTTTCAAATACGGCTAGATTCCAAGCAAGTGCTTCAGAGACAAGAAGCACATGTCTATTTGCATCTTAAACTTCTCCTCTTCTTCCTCGTCCTCTAACCCTGCTCTATTCCAAAAGGGTTAGAGGAGTTGGGTATTTATCATTCATTGTTAGCGATGATGGTGGTGATGGTAGTATGTCCCCAAGAGCCGTTACATAACAGAGATTCTGGAGGTCACTTTTAAGGGCTGTTTTTATGCTGACATGGAAAATAAAGCATTTCTGCCTATTCATAGGAATTATCATCTGTAAAACAGAAGTTCATTTTCTCTACCTCGTGTCAATTATGTGTCAGTTATGATTTATTGCTTGAAGATGTACCTGAGATTTTATGTAGCCATATACTCATGCCACAAAAAGTTGTAGTTGTAAGAGTCTCTATGCAAATCAACGTTTGGGTGTGGAAAAGTCACAGATTTTTGTAAAGGGTAAGAAGTGTCTTTTTCACACTTTGATGGTTTCATGTTGGAAATGGTGCTACAGAGAAGTTAAATATTTATATACATGCAGTTGAAACCATTATAAGGTTTCTCATGGATACAGCTAGGATGCATTTGTCTCATAAAAATAAGAACACTCTTGTTTGTTCATTTTTTCCCCATTCTTTTTTGTTTTATCCTCTAGATGAAGGTACCAGAGCCTGGCTACATAGAGTTATTAATACTGGAACCAGAATAAAAGCAGGCCTTTAAAGAAAGGACAGTGTTTTTCTTTTTTTTTTTTTTTT